GACCACAATTTTTATTTAGATATTCATCCATCTTATATAAATTTATAACCAGTCATCTAGGAAAGAGATAGCATTGTTCTGTTTAACCCTAAAACAGTGCACGCAGCACTCAGCAGTCAGTGAGCTGTGTTTCTAACATGCCTACTGGTGTGACACTGGAAGAGCTGCAGTGCTGGAAGGTTTCAGACAAGCTAGTGATACCGCCAAGTAATGGTGCATGAACCAGCAACGCAGAGTGGAGTGCTGGTGGGTATGGCGTTGGATACTTCTTTCCCATATTGTTCTTGTTTTGTTTTTGTCAGAAGGAGTCCTGAGGAAATGCTGGCACCTTCAGACATGCAAAAGTGCCAAGCCCTCTTTCTTGTATAAGCCCTCTTATACTGACCGTCTGACTTTTTGCATTGAAAAAGTGAAAAAAAAGTACTGTTTTACGCTAAAAGTGAAAAAAATGCTCTCTTCCGATCTGGGACACTGAATAAACTGGGGACTTTGTCTATTTCCACCTTTACACACTTTCTGCTCTACTGAATGTCCATGCACCAGGCTATTGAGATGAGAACTGAGAGGAATTTATAGTTGGTGAGACATACACATACAAGGGTGCAGCATGCACACTCTGCACAGGAAGGGTGCTGCCCTAATGAGTTGAGCAGGTTGCTCAGGACTTTCCACAGGACTCACTTTTGCCTTATTTCCTACAAGCTGTTCAGACCCTGCTCTGAAGACAGTATCCTTCATATCCATATGGGGCTTTCAGTGAACGCACAACTCCCTCACAGCTGAGACCTTCACTGTTACCTTCCTGTACAGCATCACTCCGAAGTGATGGGGCTGGCTTGGCAGTATCCCTTCAGACAGGAAGCTGCTGCGTCCCAGGAAGATTAAGGCCAAACACAACCACGTTGAACACAATTTTAAATTCCCCAAATCAGATTTTTGGAATAGTGTTTTGTGTTCTGAGCACCGCTCCCACTGACTTCAAGATGCAGCTGTGAAAGTTCAGCACGCCTACAAGTCCTGCACCAAGAATAAAACTAATGTAAAACTATTGACAGCTTCTGAAAAGATTGGCTCGAGTGACTCAGCTATCATCGCATGGGAGCTATATGACAGAAAAAGGGACAGTATCCAATTCTCCAGGGTAGAACACTGCTCCCTTGCCATATGCTCTTTTCCCAAATTCTGGCTTATCCTCTACACTGCCTAACATTTCTGGGGCCAAGGAAGTGGGAAGGGGTCCTATAATATCTATAACTCTACAGCCACGATCAGTTCCCAGAACTTTCCATACCGCTCACAGAATAATCCCTACAACCCTGCCATGAAAGACAATCTGTGTACACACAAGAAGTACTGAGTCTTGCAGTTTTAATAATATTTTCTTCAGTTGGCAAGTATTTTGCTTGTTTTTCAGAAAGATTTAACTAATTCCCTTGTGTGGCATGGTTCTGCTATTCACAATGGCCACCAGGAGGTAAAAGGGGTCTTGAAATCCCCTTTACAGGTCTTCTCTGTTTGGCTAATAGCATAACAGAAAATAATGATGGATATCAGAGACCACCATCAGGATCTGGGACAAGCACCTTGACCTCCTGGCTCATTTCTCCACCAGTATCCTCTCAAATCTCCCAGGCTTGTTGGGTCCTTATCCTCATCTTTGCACTAAACCAAGCCCTTTTCTCCTCCTACGGATGCACCACCCTTGGCAGATCTACCACTACTCACCCAGTCATAGTTTTTCTCTTCAAGTTCCAGCTGCGGGCTTTGATTTGAAACTCCTCACTTCCCTCTGGACTGTGGCTCTTTCCCCTTTCAGTGACAGGACTGGATTCAATTCCCATGTCATTTGGGAGGCAGCAAAGGGACCAAGAGTGAGAATCTCCATGTAGCCTTGTATGTGGCCTGATCTCCATGCTCAGCAGTACAACCTTTTGTGTATTTGAAGATGCACCACATCTCCCTCCCTCATCCTTCACTTCTCTAACCAAACCACTCCAGTTACTGAGCCTGATTTCATGCATTCCAGCCCTCTGCTTCTTCCCCTTTCTCTTTTCTGGACCAGACTCATCCAGCATACATGTATGCACAGCCTGCACAGCAAGAGGAGTTGAGAGGAGCTCAAGCATTCCTCTAGGAAGTCGAAGCCCCACTATCTAGCCATTCAGATTGTAATTTGGCTCTGTCATTTTCATAGCAAAAGCAAGAAGTGCCTTTTGGTAGAATAGACACCCTTATTTCCTTATTTTAAAGGTCCCATTTCAAAACAGGGGGCCACTAGGACTGCTTTTAAAAGTCTTTAGAAAGTCTTTAAGTCAACAAAAGAATATTTTCCTCCTTGCTTCATTCTTAGCACTATGTAACAACTTTACAGAGAATTTCCAGGAGGAAAAGAAATCAGTCCAAAGCAGACCCTTAACACTGAAATGGTAAATGTTCCACAAAATTATAAGTGACTGAAAAACAGGCAATATATGTCAGGATACAAGAATAGGTCTATCTGCACTATGAGTAAAAGTTGGCTGTATAAAACCTTGCATTGTGTTTCCAACTGCTTAAACATTCAGTATGGATGATAGCTATGCTAATATGAGGCATTAAAAAAAAAAAAAAAAAAAAAAAAAAAAAAAAACACTAGATAAAGTATTAAAGAATGTATTAAAGTTCTCACCCAAGGGTATTCGCAATTTGGCCTTAACACTGGAGTATTTGTTGCCTATAAATATCATGTGCTGCTTTACCTCCTGTCCCACAGTCCTGAAACATGAGCTGTAACTTGCAAAAGAAAAAGGCACCTCTACAAAGTAACCCCCTCTACTTCAGACAGTTGATTCCAGACCGAAAAACACCCAATAATCTCACTTCCTTGAGCTGCAGAGAGGGAGAGGAAGGAACTGCAGTGACAGCCATTTCAACCACCTCATCAAAGACTGCTAATCGATCCCCAGCATTTGCAGGGGTTTCTTCTGGCACTGGTCCTACAAGAAAGGAGGTGAGGAAGGAAAGCAGCCAGTTTCTACAAGTTGCAGTCCATGTGGGTTAATGCACTTCTGAGAAGGGAGATGCCTGGGAGGACACCCTGCAAGTGGGATACAGTGTACGTGATGAATGTCCCATAAAATACTGGCCCAGCAGTCCCCAAATGCTAAGTGCCACAGTCAGTCTTTGTCTTGGAGCGTTCTGTAAAATGTTGTTGATTTTAGACAAAGTGGAAGGCAGCCTGGCTGTTTGCCTACTGGTAGGCTTTCGTTTGTCACCTGTGATGGACACTTGAGGTTGCACACTGTATGGCCGCATGTCTTTCCATAGACACCATTCCCCCAACTTCAACTCCAGCCCCGTGTTTTCCTTTTACTCTCCTTTCTTTTCTTTCAGGCTGAGGAGAAGCTCTGTAAGAGGTGTTTGTTTTGGGAAAAGAAGAAAGAAAACTGCTCTGGAGTTGTTAAAAAGTCACAGGTTTCAACAAAGAGCCACTTAAAAGAAAGCTAGAGATTTTTTTTCCTTTTTTTTTTTTTTTTTTTTTTTTCTTTTTTCTTTTCCAGAAAACAAAGTAGATGGAAACAGCTGGAAACTGCAACTTGGAAAATCGAGAAAGTAAGATGAATCAAACTTCTTGTTTTTCCTCTCCTACCCTAACCTGCAGGGGACAGGGGTGGGGGGTAACCTCTTCAGGCCCTTTTCAAAACAGATGGTGGATTCCCAGAAGGTTCAGGTTTGGAGTTTTCTTTTCAAGCAAAAATATCAACTGTGCTTTTGCACGGAGCTGTGGGATCCTCAGCTCAGCTGCAGCTTGCCACACATAAGTAAACATATCAGATTCCACTACCAGACTCTGATTTGCAAAAAAATGATATTAGTAAACCTCAATCATTAAGGCTGATAGTGTTGCTTTCAGCTCCCTGACACAACAAAGTTTTCTTACTTCAGCATTTTGCAATTAGCTCCTGTTACTCCACTCACCAGTGCTACAATTCACTGATGCGAAAACACAGTTGTGAAAGTTGGCTTCTGAAAGCTCTTACCCCAGGTGATAGGATCTCATTCTGCATCATTACCTTACGTCTTTTTAGTTGGGTGCACATCCTGAGACATTTCAAAGCTCAGGAAGATAAAAAAATATATTGAAGTGTCTCAGATAACACACCCAAAATGTAGGATTTATTATTTTTGTTGTTATTTTGGATTAAACACAGGTGCGCCACAGTTAAAAGGTGGCGTGGAATAAAGATGTCTTGGTTGCTCTCTCAGCACATTGCACTGCTATAAGAGCAGCTAAAACATCACTCAGCCCCTCAAAAATGGCAACATAAAAGTCCATAAAAGCGAGTAGAACCAGAAGATCTCAGTTCTATTCCTAGCAATGGTATTGACCTCTGAGAGCCTGGCCAAGTGACTTAATCCCTCCACATCCCCACTTCCCACAGCTATGAAGGGGAAATACTAACCCTTCTGTAGGACACTTCAAGGTTCCTGCCCAAAAGCTTTAGGTTTGCCATGAACACAAAGCACGGGCCTAAAGTCAGAAGGAAAACAATGGGAGATCTTTCTCTCAATTAAAATATTTAAAATATTCAGCTCCTATTGCAGAAAGTTACAACCATATTAAATTATATATATATATATTTATAAATATTATATAACCGTATTAAGTCAGACCCTCTGCATTATTATTGTTTATATGGCATAGGCACTTCTTTTAGTCACTTAGCTTATGACACTTTATTTTCATTAATTTCTAATGCTACTGTGAATGCCCCAAATGAAGATGTTTCAAGATGTCTAACATATTCTGTGATGAGTAGATCTTTATTGGGCTTTACTCTTAATATCTACATCAGCTCTACCTCTAGTTCAGTAACGTTGTTATTGAACTCTCATTTTGAAAATTGGCACATAAATTATGTGTCATCCCACCACTACATGTCATTAGTAAGGCCAGGCATATGTTCAGGGTAAGAAGCAGCTATGAAGGTTGATTTTAAATAGAATAAAAATACGGTTACCATCATATAGATTGTGTGTCCAGATACAATATTTCATAGTCGTTGTAGCCAATCTCACTTTTATAGGTTCTTCTCTTTGTTATCTCTCCCAGGAAGCACCTGAAGTAAAATAAATAAATAAATAGTGCTGTTTAGACTTTTATGGTACAAGACTATGGTTTAAATTATATTTAAAATTTTATTTAAAGTTCTCTTTTAAACCCCACATATGTATATAAGCTCTTCAAACTGCAAAAAGTCCACAAGAGATGTAGAAATTCCCAGGAAGTCAGTGACTGAGATAGCAACCACAAAGACAAAACACATTTGAATGCTGAGTATATATGAGAGAGCAAAGGCATCACCTGTAGCCACAATCTGCAATGGGGAAGAGATAAAATCAATACAAGCTGAGGAACCATTCCTTATGTTTTTCCATTATCCCCTAAACAAGCATTGCTTTTCTGTTCTGTTGCCAAGGATGTCTTCTAGTTTAACTCTGAAGATTGAATCCCCATGCATGTCTATATCTAAAAGTCTGAGATTGTTATTTGGGCCCTTGGGTCTTAAAATATTTTACTTACAGCCGACAGCCAGGCAAATTTCATCCTTGTTTCGTTCAAACATATATTCTGGCTCACTGTTTTTTCCCCTTGCTTACAGAGCTCAGCTGGCCTCAGCTCTGGAGCTGGCTGGACATTTTTGCTGATTAGCTGCCAAATATTGACAATTATGTGCCAATTTCATTTTTCATATGAAAGAGTATTTTAAGAATAAACTTCTCGTTCATGTTGTTATTACATGCACAGGGAGGAGTGAAGGAAATGGCAAAACATTGTCTCTCACTTTAGTGTATTCAAAATCTCTTTTGGACCTGCAGCAGATTGCGGGAGCTGCTCTTTGCCGTCTTCTTGTTGTAGGATCAAGAGGGTGTGAGATATCGCTGAATCAAAGAGCTTTGGGCCTGAAGCCAATTCCTTCGGGACCCACAGCTCTTGCCAAACTTCTGCCTGTGACCAGGACACTGGCAGAGCTGGACACACTCTGTTTGGGCCTGGAAGTCCCCCTTGATGGCAACCATTGATCCACTTCTCTGCAAGCTCACGGACCTTATCATCTTTCCCCTGCTGAGGACCTGCCTGAGTCATTCTTCTCTCTAAGGAAAAAAACAAGCGTTTTGGTTTACAACTTTGTGTTTCAGGGATGCAGAGGACCCCTGCTGCCCCTGTCCCAGTGAGGGAGCTCCCACCAGATGAGCAGCCAGCATGAACAGACGGCTGCTGAGCTGGCCCTATGTGCACTTGCAAACAAGCAGCAGACACAGATTATGAACTCCCTAAAGTGTTCCTCTACCTTCAGGCTCACTTATTTCACACAAGCACAAGTCAACATAGAATAACCAGAGCATGGAGACACAGCAGAGGTTTAGATCCATCTCCCTCTACCCCAACACGCTAGCCAGAGCAAGATGCACACTCACATTTCATTGTGTGACAGGGACCATGCAGCTCTTCCCCAGCCACATCAGGACTCCCGGTGCACTGAGGGTGCTCCCAGTCTTTATGAGCCTCACTGAATTATTTCTGCTACTCTTGGGACCTCCAGAGTGCTTTAAGCTGTGCAATGGTAGAGCAGAGACTTGCATTATTCTCCTGCATTTAATTTTTATGTGAAATTTTGGTCTGGAGACAATCGTATCATTGGAGGCAGCTCAAGATTTCACATAAAAATTAAATTAGAATATTATTAGAGTACTATACAAACTAGGCACACTTGCTCAGTGGTGTTTTTCCACTTTCCTTGAAACAAAAGAAGAAAACACCACACTCTCACATCAGATGCAGAAGAAAGTCACTACTTTTAGCAGTGCAAAGCAAAAGGTTGTTTCCAACAGCAGCAGGGTATTTCATTTCCTTGTGTGGCTCAGAAAGGTTGTTTCCCTGACTGCCTAACCAGTTATGCTGAGCACAACAGTATTTGTGATGTTCCTCAGAAAGCGCACCAGTGTTGCTCTCCACCTTGTCAATACAAAATCCCTTCTGTGACAGTGCTTCCATGGGGCTGACAGGTTCATCTTTAATCACTAAGCCAGAGCTAATGAGGAAGCAGCCTGGAGCGAAGCTGAAAGGTTGATGTGTGATTTGTCTACTGACTGGACTCTGATCGCTTACAAGTAGGCTGGATTTTACTCTAATTTAAGTCTGTTCACCTGTCTTTGAGCAGGGAAGTTAAACCTTTTCTCATCCAGTGCCAGTCTTGGAATAGCACAGATGTCCAAAAAAATAAACTGGGAAGGTGGTTTCTGACTCATTAGAAACTTGCATTCTTTGGTAAATCAAATTCGAGGAAATCTCATTGTGTTGCCATATGTTTATTTCTCCGAAGTCATTACTAAGTGCATTTGTTTGGGAGGAAGTTCCCTTTCAGAAGACACACAAGGGAGTCAGTCCTTGAGGGAGAGCTATAAACAAGTCAAAGGTTTTCAATTATTTTCTGCAAACAAAAAATACACCAGACAGGAACATATTTCCCTAAGGAAAGGTATAGGCTTATAAACCTAAAGAGAAAATGCAAATACATGGGGAAATAAACTGAAAGATTCCCATTACAGCCTGACTGAAAATTCAGTGAGCTCAATGAAAATATACTCATCAAATTGAATAGGCTTTGATATAAGCTTGTATGTTTTTTTCTAGATATGGATGTAAACCTGTATAATTGAACATTTTTTTTCCATCATTTCAGGACAGGACTTATGGCTGAACTTGAGGAGATACAGCCTGAGGAAAGATGGGTGTATTCTCATTTTCAGTGAGAAACTTCAGGAGGGATTTGAGCACAGAAAATTACATCAATGTGAATGCCAGGTCAAAATGCAATGTGAACAGAAACAGTTATAATTGTCTGCAGGACTATCCTTCAAAAAAACTTCAGAATAATAAGTTAACATTCAGAGAATGAAATGTCTGATGATGACAGAGACTTTGAGATGACAGGCATCCTGATGAATAGTGGGAGGATAAAGAACAGAGGGACATTTAAAAAGCTAGTGCCAGGTTGTACAGGGAGGATTATTTCCCCATAAAGATGTGATAAAAATACTAATATGCTGTTATATTTATGTTTCCTAATCTCCTAATCAAGAAAACACTGAGTACTTGATAATCAAGTATATCAAAGCATAAATATAGCTGTCTTCAACTGCATGCATAGGTGCTGCACAGACAGCAAATACAGAGATAGTCACACAGAGCAGCTTTACTGAGTAGCTCCAAAATACTGCACAAAAATGAGCTCAGGACACAGAAGAGATGACACAAAAAGAGATGTGGCAAAACTCACCACAGCGTGTTTGCTTTCAGCATGGTCGTCATACTGATGAGGGTTGTCTTGAGCTGCATGAAATGAGAGCTAAAAAATTATACTAGCAAAAGAGAACTGAGGAAAGCAATAGCTTTAAAGCTGTGGAAGCTGAATAAAGAACTTTGTGCTCACCTTGAAGGAGTCAGGATGGAAACACAGTACATGTGCACCACTGATCTCAGTCCCACTGAAGTTAACCACAGTTCTGATAATCACCGTGATTAGCACGTCCAAAACACACTCTCATATGTCATGTTTGAAATTCTCTCCATTTTCCATCTCCAGGAATCCTTAACCTTTTCTGGCTTATTACAATAGACAATGCTCACATCCAGAAAATCATGAGCCACAGTCCTGCTGAGGGCCTGGGGTTTGGGTGCTCTCAGTCCCTCTGTCCTGGTGAGGCACCCAGGCAGGGCTGGGGTGGCCTTGCTGGCCCTGAAGGGACTCCTGCACACTCTGGGGCTGATTTCAGTTAGGTGGTCTTTGAACTGCAACAAGCCAGCAAGTGGCTTGAAGCACAGCCTGTGCTCTTCCAGAGGATCTGGCTAGTGTTTTAGGAGAATGAGGTTTGTCAGGAGAACCTCCAAAAGGTGATTTCATGGGAGAAAATAGGACATGTACAAGGAAAGCATTTGGCTTCAGCTGACAGAAAGGATAAAGTTCCTGGATAAAAGCTTCTAGAGGCTCCAAAAATAATTATAAAGCAGAGCCAGCTCAAACCTCAAAATCAGATACAGGATAAGAAGGCTGCTGAGGCTTCAAAACAGGTTAAAACGGCACAATTTGTACAGCTTGGCTCATGTTAGCAAGTTTAAATTGTGGGTGGAGATGTCTGATCACCAGAGGAAACCTCATTTTGGTTTTGTTTTGATTGACATATTCACAAATTTGGAAATACCAGTCTTACACAATTAACAAGGATTACTACAGCCAACAAAACCTGGTGGTCTCTGTAACGTGCTCTGGATCTTTCAGCCAAATCAGAGATATTTCAGAAGGAAACTTTCTCTTTTTTCCTCAAATGGAGCAGCTGCATGCAGCCATATCTGCCACTAAATTTGCATTAAGCATACTCTTTGCTTAAAGGGAAATGTCTTAGTCCAAGGAAGGAAGGAAGGAAGGAAAGAAGGAAGAAAGGAAATAAGGAAGGAAGACTAAAACAAATGTTACAAAAATGTATAGCAAAGTACTGAGTGTGAAAGGACACTTGTTTTTAAAAACGGATCTGACGTTTGTTGCCTTTTCTGCTAGGCACCATTTAGCTAAACATTTGGAGGTCGCCCATGCAAAAAAAAAGGGTTCTGCTTACATCATTAGTCACCTCCATCTGCCAGCACACAAATCCCACTCATCTGTCTGTTGAGCCAGCAGAAATGTGGCAGGGCTAACAGTTTTGTTCTTGAAAGAACCCTGATGGTGTTTCCCCATTCAGGCTCTGTTTTGTTGGAGTTCAAATGGATTTGCTGGGAAATATCTGGGAGAGGAAGTATCCATTTCATGCCTGCAGATTAGAATTCAAAGACCAGATTTGATAGGCAGAGTTACAATGGGCAGACAAAGGTAACGATAAAAATACTAATCACTTAGATCAGTAATGACTTCATTCACATACCTCTCTGACCAGCCACACACCCTGTCCCTTGGACTGTTGGGAACAGGAGACTTGCATGTATCTATAGTGGTAGTTTATAGTGGTATAATTTGCATGTGGTATAGTTCTTTATTGGAAGTTTTAATTAGATAGTTTGACGCAT